CGCAAAGGTAGAGATATTACGAGCAAGGGGAACTGCGAACTTTTGGAAGCAGGCCTCATAAGTGCATTATTTTTACGTTAAACTGATTTAATTGACTTACTGGGAAAGAACGAAAAACACAATAATGAAAGCAAAGCCAATGGCTCGTTGTGACACAAAGCTAGTAATCTGGCAGTGATAACGTTTTATATAAGGATCTTCACACATCATGTTCTCGTACTTCTGCTTTTTGTTGTTGGGCCTCAGAAAAATTGTATGTCCTTTTTATATCAAAGGTTTTTAAGGGGAGGAGAGAAAAAAATTGTATATATTTTGACACTGCATTAATATGGAAGTGTGAGAATGGAAATGCGGTCTTCCTTAAGAAAACATTTAGCCCGTTTATATAATAAAGCTGGTTGAAATTTCTGAAACATTTGCTTTGGCAGCCTCAACTTGTTCCAGGTTTTGACACCTGAAAGTAGACGTAGCAAAAAACCTCCCTGAAGGGAAGTCCCCCGCAGTCTCTGTGCCACGATAAGCAGGCATCATCTAGGAGCCTAAGGGTAAATCAGGAAAGCAGAGTAAGGAAGGCCAGGCAAATTAGCCTTTACCCAGGCTGGTTTCCACACTGGGAACTGGGATCGTGAAGATAATCCTTGCTCTCAGCCTTGCTGGTGCAGAGCAAAGGGAGGTTCATTTGTGCAACGTTCATGTCTTTATGGGGGGATAACAAGACACATAGGCCAAACAACCAGATAATTTTTCTAGAGGTGAAAAAGAAACATCATCTTCCCTACTCAAACAGCATTGAGGAAGTGGGAAGGTCCCTCACCGTGCCTCTGGCAGTCTTGATTTCAGCAGCTTGGTATAGATAGACCCAGTGTAAATACCGGGACAGAAAACAGCTCACTCCCAAACCCTGGCTGCCTCTGCTGGGCTAAGGAGTGAGGCCCTTATCTCTATCTGTGCTGCTATCAGGCCACGCTGTACCGCGGGGATCCGTGCCGATACGTGACTGTATGGAGCTGGCAGTCGTTTGCCCCCAGCCTTATTCCTGCTAGAAGTGCACGTGAGCACCTAACATGGAGAAACCAAGCGTGAGCACGGAGGGTCTGTGGCCATCCTGGCTCCTTCAGGCAATAACTCTTGTCTTCTTGTCTTTGCTACCCACAGCGCCGGGCTCAGAAAGCTCCCCCTGGGCAGCACAGGCACTGCGAGCAATGCTTCAGCCGGCACTGCCGCGCACCGATTGAGCCTTCCATCTCCTGCATGGTGATCAGCTGCCGCCTGCACTGCGGGGCCACCTTCCACATGTGCAAGGAGGAGGAGCACCAACTGCTCTGTCCCTTAGAGCAGGTCTCCTGCCTCAACTCGGCGTACGGCTGCCCTTTTTCCATGGCCCGCTTTAAGCTGGCGAAGCACCTCCAGGTCTGTCCAGCCAGCGTTGTCTGCTGCTCGATGGAGTGGAATCGCTGGCCAAACGTGGATTCAGACACAACCCTCCACGAGAACATTATGAAGGAGACCTTGAACGAAGAGTGTTTGGACACAGCCTTGGCGCTCAGAGACCAGAAGATACTTTTCAGGACTTTGAAAATAGCTGACTTGTTTCCAGAGTGGAGGAAAAAGGATGAAGTGGAAGAGCTAATGGACGAAGCCGTGGGTGGGGAAGAAGGTGCTGTGGGAGGAGTAGCCTGTGGTTCCCAAGAGGGCAATGACCAGTTGTCTGAGCTCAGCCAACGTGAGCGTGAAGATTTGGCAAAGGACAAAGAGGGAATGGATCTGGGGAGTTACCAAACCTGGGAGAACATTTTCAGCAAAGAGCTCCTGGCTTGCAAGGTAACGGGCTCAGCAGCCAGCAGAGGACAAAAGACGGAGGAGGCTTCCAAGAAAACAGCGTCAGCCCCTCATGCTGCCAGCTCCACCGAGAAGGCAAAGGAGGTACCTGACGGTGCAGAAGAGGCAAAGGACCAAAAGCCTGAAGAAGTAACACCCCACAGAGAGATGACAGGACTGGCTCCCTGGCAAGAAGGGGTCCTGGAGAGGCTGAAGAAGGAAGTCGGTGTAGGTGATTACAACATGTATCTGGTACATCATGGGGGAATGCTCATCCGCTTTGGCCAGCTAGCTGCTTGCACTCCCAAAGAAAAAGACTTCGTCTATGGGAACTTGGAAGCTCAGGAGGTGAAGACTGTCTACACCTTCAAAGTGCCAGTTAGTTACTGCGGCAAAAGAGCACGACTAGGAGATGCACTGGGCCACAAGATGCCAACTTCAGATAAGTCAGTGGATACCTCAGAACTGGGAATAAACGTAGAAGAACTACCGAAGGCAAATATAGTTAAAGCCACACTGCTGTGTGCACTGGAAAAAGAGCTGAAAGGCCACGAGATCTCTGAAGCAAGGGGTATCGATGGACTCTTTGTGGATTTTGCAACACAGACATACAGCTTTCCTCTGGAGCCCTTCTCCTCCAATGCTGTTCTAGCAGATATTCTGGATGAAAAAAGCCCACCAGAACTCCACGTGGAGCTCTACACTGAATGTGTAACCAGAAGACACAACAAAAGCAGTTCAGCTTTCACATTCACTTGCAGTCATTTCTTCAGGAGAGACGAGTTCCCGTCCCACTTCAAGAACGTGCATGCTGATATCCAGTCATGTCTGGACGGATGGTTCCAGCATCGCTGCCCGCTGGCCTACCTGGGATGTACTTTTGTTCAAAATCCCTTCCGCCCTGATGGACTTAAGGCCAAGGTTATATACAGCAAGCCTCTCAAGACATTTGCTATTAAGCCAGAGGTGGACACCCTTCTTGCTGAGTCAGGGAAGTGCAATTCCACAGTGCCTAATCGAGGGAGAAATAAGGACTCACTGAGCAGCCTCCCAGTGGAAGTGCTCAAGTACATCGCGGGGTTCCTGGACAGCTTCAGTTTATCTCAGCTATCGCAAGTGTCGGTGCTGATGAGGGACATCTGTGCCACTCTTCTTCAAGAGAGGGGAATGGTCCTGCTGGTCTGGGAGAAAAGAAGATATTCCCATGGCGGTACTTCGTGGAGAGCTCGCAAAAAGGCAAGTGACTGTGACACTGGGGAAAAGACAGCCACGGGTTCTCTCCAGATAAAACGCAGGCATAGCAAGGGATGCTGCACATAAACGTGCAGATGTGGGGAAGGTTCGTGAGGTTGTAGTTTGCACCACGACTGTCAGGGCTGTAAAATGCAGTACGTCTAGCAAAGGCAGGAAGGTGTAAATGGACATCTTCTGACTAGCTGCCAGTCCCCACCCAAGCTTGTCTTGGGTAACCTGTTTGCATGTGCACCGTTTTTAGGCACTGGGAACTGAGAATTCCTGATATTTAAGGGTTACACATGGATTTCTGAAGAACTTGAAGTTTGTGCTTTTTTTTGTTCTTTAGAAGACAATCTAGGATATGTCAAAACTCAAACACGCTTTAGAAAAATGCCAAAAAGGTAAAGAACAAGGAGAGGTGGCTGTGAAAGGAGCTCAGGCATTGGCATCAGCCCCCGAGGGCTTTCATGAACAGCAGGTCACAGGGTTGCCATGAGGGCCTGACGCATTGCGTTGTGAGCCCCTGAGGGAGCAGCACGGGGATAGGAAGCCTTCTCCAAAGCTGGTCTCCCGCTGTTTGTGCTGGAAAATTACCACCCTGTTGGCTGTTTAGGCAGTCAGAAAGAAATATGTAACCATAGCTCAGCCTAAGCCCTAGTTGAACAATAGTTATTACAGGTTTTCTTCTAGCTGATAGCCATGCAGCTGCTCTAACGTAAAACTGTTTGAAAGAATGACATGAGAAACTCCAGCATGACGGAGCAGGCAAGACAGAGATCTAGGAACAAATAATTTAGAGACCCAGGGAAGGCTCCCAGAAATGATCTAAGGACCTGGCTTTCAAGCAGACCCCTGAAGATCTCCACCTATTGATTCTTATCAAATGGAAGCTTAGCAGTTTATGACTCTTTATTAAGAGAAAGCATGAGGCATGGTGAATTCAAAATCTGTGTGACAACGTCTGGTGGCTGCAAGTTGAATTAGAGCAACCCAAAACAGGAATTAACCACTGAAATAATTTACTGAAGGATGTGGCTTCCTTCAGTAAAAGGAAGACATTCCAGCTGAGCAATCGTATAGCAATTAACTTCAGTTATTGTAGAGCAATTTCAAACCAGCAGCACTGAATTTAAGGACAGTCTAACCCTTTCCATGTCAGCTTTCTGTACTGACCACACAGGAATCTTGTTTCCAGTGCACAGTCTCTGCCGAAAACATTCTGTAATTAGTCCGAATTTCTTGACTGCTGTGTACGATAGCTATGATTACTTAGGACTAGGACAGGGCCAGGTAATCTTAAGTGTAGCACATACTGCCCTTCTTCCGCAGGAAGAAACATTTTTAGGGAGAAGAAATCTACTCTGACTTTAAAAATTCATTTGATTTAGTGGTACACAGCAAATATTAAAATTACTTAGTCACAGTCTTATCACTACATGCTAGTATATCACTAAACGGTACGTGGTATCACTGCAAACAGAATTGGAAAATTTTAACTACCCATTTCTATTTTTTACAAGCTTTTATCTCCTCTAGGAATAACTTTAACCTTAGATTTGCCAGGCATGTTCTGGGGTGGGGTGAATAACAGCAGTGTTGTAGTGTTCATTACTTTGAAGTTGCTGATGGATGCTTTGGAAGGTCTTTCTGAAGTCAGGTTCCTTCGAGATACACATCACACAACCATGCTGTAGTCACTCTGCTTCACAAACATCTTGGCTGCAGCTATAAACATCTTGGATCACACCGTACATGCGATGGAGTTTTCTGGAGAGGCGCGGTGGTCAGATTTCCTCAGGCCCGCACTGGCTTGGCACAGAAACTGTAGGAAGATACTTTCCTGTTAAAAATGGCAGGTGATGACTAAAGCAGCAAAACCAGCAAGCGTGAGGTACATAACAACACGGACCCCATTTTCACTTCTTATGCCAGCCCTGCACAATCAGATGCTCGCTAGCCTGTCTGGTACGAGTAATGCAAAACCACTACAAGCATATATAGATATTTTTAAAATCCTCTTCTATTTTTACTGATGTTCCCATTTTCTCTCCCCGATTTCTCGCCCTGTCCCCGCACTAGATCTGGCAGTTCAGCAGCCTGTTCTCCAGAGTTCACAAATGGCGGCGCAACGACGTGGCGTGCATGTCGGAGCACCTGAAGAACTGTCCCTTCTACCAAGTGGAGCCCAAGACAGACCCCGTGCTGCTGACAGGCATGTGTGAGTCTCGAGAGCAGACTCAAAAGACTTTGGTTTCTACTTTCAAGCGCAGAGTCTGAACAACCCGCTTCCCCTCTGCCACGCTCCATTCAGGGCCCTTGCAAAGAAGATGGGGGAATTTGGGTGCAAAGATTGTTGCTTCCAACTCTCCTTTGGACGTACAAAACTGGCTTCTCCCCGGCCGCGTTTGGAACATCCTGCATCTTTTTTTTCCCCCCCTGCATTAATTTAATCGTTAAAACTTCATCCGCTGCTCACCAATATGACGTGCTTTCTGTTTATGTTTCTGTTCCTTGCTTAATACAGCATCCTGGAGAAAGCAATAAGGATCTCGTTTGAAAGAGCATCTTGGCAACCTTGAAGGTAGGCTGCTGCTCCTGTGCCATGTCCCTGAGAGGAGCAAGAGCAGTTAACGTACCTAGCTCGACTAGGTCTGAAACACCTTCGTTTGGGCTGGAAAGCCAAGTTCTGGGAGCACAGGCAAATGCCGTCCTGCCTGGCAGACCTAGGGCTTGCTAACCTGTTCCAAGACGTGGGCAAAAGAAAAGGAGCCCCCAAAGTCAAGTGAATTAATTCGGACTCAGGCACAGCCACAGACCATCGTTTAGGGCCCCGATGCAGGCAGGCCTGCCTAGTCAGCACAGCGTTGGAGCGCAAGCCTAAAGCTGAGCTCATGGGAACATTCAAACCAAACCAAAGCAAACAAACTTGCTCTTTGTTAGAAATAACCAAGTAGTAAAAAGTTTTAGGAGTTCAATTGACTTTTTATATTTTTCGGTTAGTAACTTTCTCTGTTTTATTTAAAAATCCATTAAAGCCATCAAAAAATATTTTAAGACGTTCTTAGAATGCCTTACCTACTCCGTTTTGCAAGTGTAAATTGCAAATTGTAATTGTAAGCAATTGTAAACAATTTGTCAAAGAAAGATTTTTTTTTTTTTCCTGTAAAAGAAAAAGCATTTGGCAACCTATTCGGTAACAGCACGGATAACATTTGCTTCAGTTGGGCTGGAGTATAAGAACTTTTTCTTTTTTTACAGAGCAGAAGAGTGATTAGCGTTTAGTTATTTTCAAATAAATACACTAATTTAAAAACAGAATGTGCTTGTTGAGGCAACAGACGAGGGACAGCGGGCATGTCACCAAGAGCGCCTGTCTTATGACACTATTTAAACCCATTTCAGAGGCGCTGGTCAGAAATGCCGTCCTTGCGGTGGGGAGTGGGATGCCTCTGAAACGGCCGTAAACTGATTCGGCACAGCCACAGCGGTGCTGACTCACGCCCCTTTCTTTTTTAAGCCGGCAGTCAGAAGTGCGAGCTCAGGGCATGAGGTCTGGCTTTCATCTCACCATCTCAGGCAGGAGGACCTCACCGGGAGCTGGGACGTCTGCTGGCCTGGACCACCGCTCTCCTCGCCTGGGCTGGCCAGGTGAAAACCGGCCCGGGTGGACGGACAGACGCTGCACTTGGCAGCCCCGGTCTCAGTGCAGATCTGGGGTGAGGCAGGCTGCGCAAGAAGGAGCCCTCTCCTACCCATAAAGGCTGCGGATGAGCCTGAGCTGAGCGCTTGGTAATCGAAGGCATGAGTTGCGTGGTGACCAAAACCACGCTGAGTGCCGCTCGTCCTCGTCTATGCTTGTGGCTTAAGTGGTCCCTGTGAGATTTATAACCATAGGAGGATGTTTTTCTTCTCCAGACACACACCCTCAGGAGCATATCGTCTGAGTTGTGGGGACAGCGAACTGGTCCCAGGAGCAGGAGTAGCAGCAGTTACAGATTTATTTATTTTTTAATGCTATTCTGTTTTCTGTCCCTAGAGATCCTTTCTGGGAAGTCTCATAACGCTTTACACCTGAGAATAAACTTGTCTGCGCAGGTATCCTGTGGAAAGCATGACCAATAGCATCCCAGGTTTATGCAGAGGAACCTGAAGCAAATGAACACGGGGAACCTAAGCTGGGCCAGGAGCAGTTAAAGCTGGGATCAGACGCTCTGATCCTTCATCCTGTGGCTTAAGCCACTGCGCAAAACCGAACCGGCCATCCTTTAAAGTTGCTTACAAAAACTCATCCATCCTCAAAGCACCCCATATAACATAGGCCCCCCAGTGTTATCACTCTGTTTTACACAGGGAAGTTGGCAGAGGTGAGAACATCCAGCCAGACTTCCCAGACTGGCCTCTGCGTCAGGGCCTCATCCTTTCCGTATCAGGTACCTGCGTTTGAAAGATGCTGAGCGCCCAGCTGCAGACCAGAGTAGCTGCAAACGCACGTCCAAAAATTGGGTGCCAGTATCTATGCTGGGTCCGTAAAAATGGAGCCACTTAAAATTATGGATAATTTGGGGAGGGAAAAAAAAAGACCCTTAAATGATAGAGTCTCAGGGTGAGTCAGTGTTCAAGGCTGGTGTAAGAGGCCATGAAAAAGTTAGTTCAACCTGTGAACCATCTCTTGCCTGATCAGCCGCTGAGCTGCTGTAAACTGGTGTAGCTGCCCTGAAACCGTGGCTTATGTTAGGTGTGAATTGGGCTCGGTTTACCTTCAGTGCCAGTGTCACCGGCACCGCTGCTGCTCCGCTTCTGCCCTCCTTCTGGCGATGCCAGAGGATTTTGTTCTTGTGTCTCCCTGCTCCTGGAGATGGCGTGACTTCAGTTCCAGCCTCATCACCACCGATCCTGCTTCTTCCCTGCGCAGAAGGTGCCGGAGTCAACCTTTGCGAACGTGGTGGCTCGGAGTGCGGGTCGGAGATAGGAATGTGACAACCTCTATCTGCTGGGATCAGCCGGGGTGTACATACAACGCCTAGGAGACTGGATCGTTCTCCTTCTGGTACTGCTATAGGGTACGCTGGCGAGACCCAGGCTGTTAATTCAGAGAAATTCAAATTCGCCCCTGTCAATATACACAGATACTTCTGTAAACTGCGCATTTGGTTAAGAAACCTTCAGCATATACAGTAGAAGCTGAAAATCCACAGTCGTCTTCAGGTTAGGCTGGTTAACCCGCCCCTGCATGTGGGAAAGCTGTACAGGGAAGCGGAGATCACCCGCATACCGGTGCGTACCCACTTGGCAAACGCCAGCTGGTAGCCACTTCTACTTTATCTCACATTTAACACTAGCGGAGAGCTGTGGCCTGGTGTCAGATGCAGTTTAATTAATCAGAGGATGTGTGCCAAGCTCGCTCAGCGTTGATGGTCCTGCTCATTAGCAGAGACAGCAGAAGCTTTGGAGACCTGCAAGGAATGGAGTTTGCCTGCTCTGATCATCTTGGTAAGGACAACGCCGGCTTGGTTAAAAGGCGAGAGGCTTCAATTTGGGCTCAGCAGGTCCTTAGGCTCCTAGTTTAAGCTCGTAACTTGACTGGTGGAAAGCTAAAATTCTTCCTAAATTTCAGCTTGAGAGATTTGATTAGAAGAAACTGGGCACCTGGTGTTTTTCAAAACAGGTCTTTTGCTGTGGTGGGGTCTGAACTGGAAAAGGGGACTCATGTCCAGCAACTGAGGTTGCTCTCAGTCCAGATCACACACTCCAGGCCTTCACGGCTTTGATCCCGTTTGTGCTGCCCACGCCTTGTGCAGGGCAAGAGCAATACTCCACACGCTCCAGGCTGATGTGTCTTGCAGTGTTTCTGCTTGTTGGAAGAACGGGACCAGAAATTATGGCATCGTGGAAATCAGAGAGGTCTGAGCAGGGCAAAAAGGCTCGGGACAAGAGAGCGAGAAAGATGGGAAGCAGGAAAGGTATTGGGTTTGGATAGAGGAGACCCACCTGGTTGTAGGTGTCATGGGCAAGTGGCGATGGGAAGAGAAGGGCAGTGGGATGTGGAAGAGGTGATGCAGCTGCAAATGCTTTAGGAGGAAACAGTTCAGACGCTAGGAGAATAGGAGAGCACGTTTAGGAGAGCAGAGACATAAGGGGAATGGAGAGGTTATTTTATTTGGTTTCTACTGACAAAGTAAGATATTTGGATGAGCGTGGTGAACTCAGTGAAATGCAGACTCTGGTTTGAACTGGAATTTATACAGTGGACCTCACTCCGTGGCACAACCTCTGTTCTGGGTTAGACCATTCAGCCAGCGGGTTGTTGAAACGTGAGCTGAGAGGCCATGGTAAAACCACGGAGAGCCACAAATTTCGATGCTCCTGTACGCTCATCATTTGCTGCCAACAACAGACTTTCTGGATAAATGCTTCTCCTTGAGGAAGGGGCTGGAAATTCTCAAGCAGTGTTATACAGTAACATGGGACAGACGATAATTCTTAAGGGGTGAAAGGGACATGTACCCTAAGTCCGGGTTGGAGGGAGGAATTACTTGCCAGGCCTCCGACTCCCAAAACTGAGTGAGCACAGATAAGGTGAAGTTTATCTGAACAGTGTTTGTTATTTTGCAAAACTCTGTAACTGCTTGTTGCTTTCTGAAGAATAAAAATTATTACGGTTTAAAAAAAATCCAGCAAAATCCAAGTCTTAGCTTGCGTTCTTAGTTTCGTCACATTAATGTTTGCTTTGCTTTCAGATCAGATGTGGTGGTTCCTGTACCCTCATATTCGTTACGCTCCTTTCCTCTGCTCCACTCTTCACTATAATTTTCCTGGTTGAAGACTATTATTTGTATTCATTATTTACATTTATTTTATATTTATTTAAATTTAACAATTATTTTTATTTTTGACCCCATCCTCCTTGCATAGCCACTTTTCCTGGTTCAGTTATTTACTTATATGAAAAACTTTCTCTTCTTTTAAAAATCCATTTTCCAGACTGATGTTACATTATATCTACAAGCACGTGAAGAAAAGTTTTCTTTGCCGATCTCTCTCCCTGCTCTTCACCTTGTGGCCGTTCACCCAGGCAGCTACAGAGGGGTTTTTGCCTCTTTACTTGGGGTTCCACAGCCACAGTGCATCTCTCTCAGGAATTCTGGGCATCTTCCATATCCAGTTTCCTTACCACTACAGTCCACGTTAAAGACTTCTTAATTCCTTGGGTTTTAATTTCTTTTGAAACAAAACCTGCATGTACACTACAGGCCTATTCTTATTTAGCTTCCCGCTTAATTTATGTGTAAGGAAATTATGATCACACCCTCCAGATTTATTTTTGATGACCACCTGCTCTATGACTTAATTGCTATTTACAACTAACGAATCTTTTGTAGGTTCAGTGATGGTTTTGTGAAGGAATTTGTCATCTGTCATATGGAGAATTATGGGCCAAAGGCTCGTTGTGGTCATGAGAGATTATTCCCTGGTCCATAGCTCTGAAGTTAGTTTCCCCATGGCAGCATAGCTCTTACTGGGATTTAGCTCTTTTAATATTAGCTCTCTCCCTACATATCCAGGGATGAACTTGAGCAGTTCACAGCTCACTCTGGGCGGCACCAGAGAAAAGCCTCTTTTAACTCTCTGAGTTTCATCTAAACAACCTATAACATCGCTCATCTGATGCTAATGCACTATTTTTATCTTCCTTTCTATCAGTCCTGAACACCAGAATATTTCAATACCAGGGATGACTGTTGTTCTACCATATTTCTGTTACTTGCACGATAGCTAGTTTACACCCCGTATTAGTTGCTCATGTTTCTTTCCTACCAATATCTGGATGGTAGTTACAAAGATAATGGAGCCAAAGTCTTCTCAACAGTAGCGGGCGATATAATAAGGGGCAATGGCAACACGTTGAAGCTTGGCAGGCTCAGGCTGAACTTCAGGAACAACATTTTTACCAGAAGGGTAATGCAGCGCTAGAACAAGTACCCGGAGAAGCGGCAGTATCTCCACCCTTGGAGGGTTTCCAGACTTGGTCGGACAAAATCACGGAGCCCTGATTGAGCCAGGGGTTGGATCAGAGACCTCCAGCGGTCTCCTCCCACCATCACTTCTCTGATTCCACTGCATCACCTCAGATTCCCAGATTCCCCGTAGTACACAGGCTCCTGCCTCCCTGCCCTCACCTGCTTCCCACAGCTGAACTCAAGAGCCTTTGCCTGCCAGCATTGTCCGCTGCTGCTTCTCTCATCACAATTAGTATATTCTTTCCCCTTGTTGTCTAGGCCTCTGCCCATCGGTACTGCCTTACCTGTCGTCACGTAGTTATTTAACTGGTTTTCACCTCCCTGCGCAGGAAAACAGATACACAGCTCCCTCCCGGCAGCGGCAGCCTCACCGAATGGCGCTCTTGAACACGATACCTATACGGTAAAGTTATATTTACTGGATAGCTTGCTAAGTTGCACAACTTTTGACCAGAGCTGTTCCTTTTAGCCAGGCTGATCCAGCGTGCAATGGGTTGCAGCCCTGGAAAATGGAAGAGTCCCAGCTTTAGCAGACACCCGGAGGGATTTGGTTACAGTCGGAGCGGCTTACGGCTCTGCGAAACAAAGTCTATCCCCAGTGCCGTGTGGGAGCCTCTCCGCAGGCGCTAACCCGCTGTTAGCAAATCGTTAATCGAGGCTTTGAGTATTATTGTGCATTTAAGAACAGTTATTGTACAGGGTAATTTAGAAAAGAGAAATTACATGAATTGTATAACTACAGGTGTTTTATATTAATCTAAGTCCGTGCTACACTGCTCATTTTGTCCCTGTATAGCCCTATCCCATGGCTGGATTAATCACCAGCCGAATTAATCAGTAGATAAAGATAGATGTAGTAAGAAAAGATGAATAATTGAACAGCTGATTAAGACATTTTAACCGATTTAGACATTAGATGAGAATAAGGGTAAGGTAAGCATTCATAATATAAGTTAAGAGGTCAGATTCTTAGAATTTCAAGACGGTTTTAAACAGAGCATTGTGAAACTAGGCATAGAAGGGAAATAAATGACTTTTATGATCTTGCATGGGACCAGTGGTTGAAGCGGCCTGCGTGGTCGATAAACAAGAATTGAAACGGACCGCAAAGGACCGGTTTACCGATGGAAAACCAAGAACTTTCTTCTGACCAGAAGAATGAAGAATTGAGAACACAGTGGAAACCTTACGGAGACTTTGATAACCATGTAATTGTTATGGAAACATATATAAGGTGACAGCTGTAACACTTAGTTGCCGCTCACTGAGGTGATGGCCCAACTCCGAGTTGTTAATAGAGCAAACCTAGTTGTTAATAAGCAAAATCCCCACTTTCTGGTGAAAATTCTTCAACACCCGCGCCTCGTTTCACAGCCACAGCACAGGCTGCGGACCTCCCCCCGAACAGCTGACGGGCCAACCTGCCGAAACGCGCCTTGGGCTCCACTGGAGCAGGTATAAACACAGGTCAGCGAAAGGAGTCGTGCCTAAGCTGCGCGCTCTGTTGCATTTGCCTGGGGTGAAGGAGTTGCACAGATGCCTGTGCTCCGCTTCGCTGGCTGACGGGAATAACGTGGGTGCTGTCGGAGAGCACAGATAATGCCGGATAATACGATAATAGGGCCAGGGGAGCGGAGATGAGCACATCTCGGACCGAAGGGGGATGTGGGGACTCGCAGGGAGCGCTGGTACATGCGTGATATTACCCCGGTGAGGCAGTGGGAGAGCTAGTCAGAGCGGCTGGCCGCGTCCGACAGCTCAGGGCTCCTAAGCATAACTTCAGCAAGAAGAATTACTATTCCTTGTGAGGCTTTTCCAAGTAGGACTGAAGTGGTGAGGGTGGGATCGGGATGCAAGGGGCAAGTCTGCATCAAGAACCCGTATCTGGCCAGCACAAGGGGCTTCTTTGGCTGGGTGCCTGGGAGTTGTTCTGGGAGAGCTGGGGTGGGGGTTATCGCCGTGTCGTGCAGATGTGTACGCACGATGGTAGCGGGGCACAGCAAGGGTAAGTTGTGTTACTGCAGGGCTAGCAAGACTGTGAAGACCAGAAGAGTGAACAGACCAGCAGAGAAGCAGCCATTTTCTCTCCGCGTGTCTGAAAGACGGGGAAAAGCAGGAGTTACAACACCGTCAGAACTCACCCACTTCCTCTCTCATGGCTTGATTTGCTTCCCGCGATGTTTTTCCCCACGAAGCCAGGGCTGATTTGGCGGCTGGCGGGGGCACCGCAGGCCGCCGGGCGCGGGGGGCTGGCTCACGCCGCCGCGGAGCAAACCGGCTTCTATGCAGTTGAAGAAGGGGAAGAAAAGAAAAAAAAAAAAAAGAAACAAACCAGCTTCAACCTCCAAGCCTTTCACAAAGCTAAAGTCTTCTAAAAATGGCAAGCGGACAGAGATGTGGCTGCTTTCAGAGGCTGCTCAGTGGGTCCAGAGGAGATAAGCTTGCACGTGGAAGCGCGGTGGGAAAGACTGATATAATATTGACTTAAAGAGGGACCTGGTAAAAGCAGCCCCGCCGCAGGTTTGGGGCTGCTCCTCAATCCCAGCTGATCGCTCCCTGCTTCCCTGCTGCCTCAAGCCTCCTGCCTTCCGTAAAGCAAGAGTTAACTGGTTTAAGGGTTGGGTTTGTTTTTTTTTTTCCCTTCTGCTTTGCCAGAGCGAAAGCGAAACAAAAGGCAGCAGCGCTGCCGCCAGCAGCCGGGCAAACGCGGGTTTGGTTCCTGGGAGGATTCCAGGGCCTGGAGGTGACCGCGGAGGCCGCTGTGCTGCGGGGTGGGATGGCCGGGGCCCCGGTGCTGTGTGGGGCCGCGGTGCTGTGCGGGGCCCTGCTGGCCCTGGCGGCGGGTAAGTGGTGGGGATCGGGACTCCTCCTGCCCTCAGACCCCCCATCCCACCCCTTCAGTGAAGGTCGGGAAAACTGGGGTCTTCCTAAAGGTTAATGCTGTTGCCAGAGGTGGGTGGTGCGGGGCTGGGGGGGGTTCGCTGCCAGCAGGGCTGGGAGAACAACCCCAAAGTGGCAGCCAGCTCCCAGCCTCCTGATTATTTATCCCCCCATCCCAGAGAAATGCAGCGGGCTTCATGCATTCAACTGGTTCTTTTCCCTCCCTAAAGGGCCAGTGCAAGCGCCCGCACCAGTGCCCCTGTTTCGCAGAGTGGACATCGCCTTGGGCTGCTCCTACGTGTGGGAAGATGTCAGGGGCTTGCTGCGTGCCTCCGGCGGCTCATCCTCCCAGCATCCCGCTACCCTCGTCCTGAGGGGTATCAGCGTCAGAGATGACGGGAACTTGGACGATGTCACCGAGTACGAAGTCCCACAGGGAAATCCTGACTCCTCTTCTCCCATTGTCTTTGAAGCCTCAGGTGAGTGGGAGAGCTGGGGTGGGAGAGCTGCCACCGGGGTTTTGGCCACTTACCTGCACCAGGCTTCTATGAGATTTTCCTTTAACTGAGTTTAGACCATTAATTTTTGAATGGCCACTAAAGTTACACGCGTGAGTCCCCAGCAATTGGGACTTTAAGAAAGGAACTTTGTGGAAGATGTTAGCAAACGCTGTTGAGGCACCTCTCTCCTACTGGGGCTATCCTAGATTGCCTATTTCTTGGGAAATACTTTGTCAAAAACACATCAGGAATTATTCCACTATACAGTATTATTGCACCCATAAAGAGCATTCACATCTTCAGTCATGCAGGTGTTTTTTGCTAGCATTGTGGTAAGCAGGCATGAAGCAGGGCTGTCCTGCTCAGCAGGCCGGCTGTGCGTGACTTGGCTCTCCTTACTTCACCCATGGGTGCCCACCTGCAGTCCAGCCTCCCTTCCACTTGCTTCGCATGTAACTTTGCAAACACAGGCAAGCAAAGGTCTGAGCCTGTACTTCACTGCGGTCTTGTTCACTGCCTACAGTGCTTATCTGCGAGCACAGAATCATCAAATCATAGAATGGTTTGGGTTGGAAGGGACCTTAAAAACCATCTGGTGCCAGCCCCCCCGCCACGGGCAGGGACACCTTCCACCAGACCAGGTTGCTCAAAGCCCCATCCAGCCTGGCCTTGAACACTTCCAGGGATGGGGCATCCGCAGCTTCTCTGGACAACGTGTTCCAGTGCCTCACCACCCTCCATGTGCTTCAGTATGAGCTTATTCAAGGCTCTGAGACATTTTCAGAGCAGAAGCTGAAGGCCCATCAGGATCCATTAGCCTGGGTCCAAACTCTCTTTCAAGTGGTGTGAATGGACTGGGCCTGGGTGAGTTCAAGCACCCTACAGCCAGGCTACTGTCAAGCATTGCAGACACGGAGTTACTTTCCAGTGATGTCCGTGAGAAGCACGGAGGTCACCAGGATGCTTATGCCTCCACTTAAGCCCATGCTGTGCTCAAAGGCACAGATACGGTGTGCATCCAGTACATCCAGCCATGCCTGCCTCCTTGCCACCCTTTCTTTACTTACCTGGGATGCTTCGGTGTCCCCTTTCTTTCTGGATTCAGGCTTAAACCAAATAAACATTGCAAGCCTTTGCTGGGCATTTCACATACACAGCTCGCTGGGCACACACATACACTGGGCATACGCAGCCAACGGGAATCTGTTCTGTTTATTCGCCTTTCCTAACAGCTTTCTTCACCCAGAGTGAACTCTGTGCAATCTGGCAAGATAAAATACAGCCAACAGGCTGAGGGATGTCATGACAAACCTCTCATATTCTTTGCAGGCCTTCAGCTATTAAGCCTAGCCTGGCATTTGGAGCGTGGCCAGAGCAGGGCAGCGAGGCTGGGGCAGGGGCTGGAGCACAAGGCTGGGGAGGAGCGGCTGGGGGAGCTGGGGGTGCTCAGCCTGGAGAAGAGGAGGCTGAGGGGAGCCCTCATCGCTCTCTGCAACTGCCTGAAAGGAGGCTGGAGCCAGGGGGGTCAGTCTCTGCTCCCCAGGAACAAGCGATGGGACGAGAGGGAACGGCCTCAAGCTGCGCCAGGGGAGGTTTGGGTTGGGTATTGGGAAAAACTTCTTCCCCGAAAGGGCTGTCAGGCCCTGGCCCAGGCTGCCCAGGGCAGGGGCTGAGTCCCCATCCCTGGGGGGATTTAAAAGCTGGGGAGATGTGGTGCTGAGGGACATGGTTTAGTGGTGGGCTTGGCAGTGCTGGGTTAACGGTTGGACTCAATGATGTTAAAGGTCTTTTCCAACCTAAACGATTCTATGGTTCTAAGATTTCTGGGCTCTGACTGACCCCTGCAGCACATGATGCTTCTCCAAAATAATGTGTCTCATCATCTTGCACTTTCTTTTCCCTTTTGGATTCAAATGGTTAAACCTCTTCCTCTGTCCCCACAGCCCAGTCGGTATCCATCCCGCACGCAGAGTCCCTGCTGCACGCGGAGTGTGACGGGGAGGAGGTGAACTGCGAGATCTCCCCGTACAGCTCCCAGCAGGCTGGCGAGGGGCTCTGCCGTACCTCCTGGTTCATCGCCACCCTGCAGCTCTCCGGCGGGATCAGTATCACCTTGGTGCTCAGAGGCCCCCACTGCAGCAGCCGGGAGGAGAAGGAGCACGATGCAACGCTGCACCCAAAGCTGAAGATTCCTATGAGCAAGGAGAGCACGGTGCTGACCACAGGTGACCAGGCGGCCCAGGGTGCCCCCACAGCACCAGGGGACATGAGGGGAGGAGAGCCTGCCTCCCCAGGAGTCCTATGCCCCACCTCTCACCAGGACCTGAGGGCTGTCGGGAGCTGGTGCTTAGGGAAAAAGGGGTCATGCGTATTGCCCCTCCCATGCCTCCTCTCAAGGTTTCCCATGCCCCAGCCCCTGAGGATGACAAGCACCTTCAAGACCATGACGTGCACTTGGTGTCCACCCGTCTCCCTGCCCTGCTAACCCCACCGGGCTGGCTTCCCCCAGCTCTTCAGTCCACATCGCCCCTGGGGCATCACAGAGGGTGCCTGTGCCTCCTCCTCCTCCGGGTGGGGTGAACTCCGCCAGCCCTTCCACCAGCCCTTCCCACCCAAGGGTGCCTTCTTTAACCACATCTGTTTAACTCTCTGCTTGCCTGTGCCCTTCTTTTTGTTTCTAGTTGAATTTCAGTCGTCATCACGCAACACTTCCCTGCACACGCATCTTGGCAGCTCAGTCACCCTCGACTGCCGCTTTGCCTTGGCTCCCAGCTCCTCGTTCTCCTCGCTGGAGTGGAGGAGGCAGCACCGAGGCAGTGGCCGTAGCCTTTTCCAGTACCAGGTGGGGAGCACAGGCCCAGCTGTGCAGCCAAAAGTCCACGTGGATGTGGCAGAGCTGGTGGGGAGTGGAGATGCATCGCTTAGCCTGCAAGGAGTGAGCGTGGAAGATGAAGGGACGTACATCTGCTTGGTGTCCACCCCGCTGCACCAGGCCCAGCACATCATCCAGCTGCATGTGGCTGGTGAGGAAGGGAAATACCTGGGGGCAACAGGAGTCCCATGTCCCCAGGCACCGAAACTTCGCCCTGCACCCTTATCCCATCGCTCCCAACACTCACTGTCACAGGCAGCTCATCTTCTCTCCCTTGTGGACAGGGACTTTTGTATTCTGCTAACAATAAGTCAATTCCCTCTTTATCTCCTCCAGAGCCTCCAAGAGTTCGTGTCATTCCAGCAGTGGTGTCATTCGAGAGAGATGTGACGACTACTCTGACCTGCACTGTTGCTGGCTATTACCCCCTGGACGTCTCGGTGAGCTGGACACAGAAGACTCCTGAGGATAACGCGGAAATCCCTCTCTCAAACGCACGTTTCTCCAGCCACCGGCAAAGCCAAGATGGCACGTACAGCATCACCTCCTACCTCAGCATCAGCTCAGCCACAGCGCAGGCACCAGCCACCTACAGCTGCCATGTTTCACACGTGGCCCTGGCAGAGCCCATCTCTGTGAGCAGCCATCTTAAGGCACCAGGTAGGTGTCAGGGGCAGAGGGGCGAGTTCTTCATCCTGCCCAGACCACCTCCCACCTCCTCTACCCACCACTGGGATCAAAACCTCTGAGTCACACCACATCTGCTTGTTTCTCCATGCTTTCCTTCTGGTGTCCTCTCATACCCATCCTCTCTGTCCTCCTCTTCCCTTTCCCTTCCTCAGCTTTCATTTCACTCCCTGAAGCTTTTGGTATCTCATTTCCTTCAGGGGAAAAGAGATTTTACGACCAAAAGTGGAGCAACAGAGCAAAAGTTTGTAGCATGTGGGCTGGAGCCCGCTGGACAGGCACAAGAAAACAGCCGTGCCCCAAGGAGTCAGACACCCAGCTGGACTTGATGTTCAGCTGGAGACTGATCATGCTCGAGAACTATAGCAAAAAATCCTTCTCCCCGTTGGAGCCGTTGGGGTTCTCACTCTCCCTGCTGATGGGAGATTGGTCCCTGACCCAGCCAGGAAAAGCAAGCAATACTGCAGTTTGACAAGTTACGACACGTCAGCCCGGCCAGTATAACTGGGTCTGTGTGGCTTTAGCTCACGTGTGTCATGTCACACCTGTGTACCTGACAAGAGCGTGCACACGGGCAGCTGCTGGGGGAGCTCGGTTAACGGTGGCGACTCGCTGGCTCTTCAGCCAACCTAACATCGCTGATCCTCCTCTTCCTCTGCAGAGCAAACGGGATCGGAAGGACTGGTGGGGGGTTTCATGGCCACCATCATTTTCATCATCGTCCTCTTTGTCGTGCTCAGGAGACGAGCAGGTAGGAGTTTAAAATGCTGAGCCACTTCCCTCGTGGGAGAGATGCAGCAAGGAGCATCTTCCTCCCTTGAGGTGGAGGTCAGGATATCCCAGGATCCTGGAGGGAGAGGTGGGGAGCAGATGAGCTGGAGACTCATTTCTGGTGGAAGGCAGCACGAGGTGATGTTTTGCACTGCTTTGGCCTTCCTGCACCTTACTTCTTTTTTTTTTCTCTCTCCTTTTCAGCTAAACCAAAGTCTGAGCAACTTCTAAGGGCTCCAGAATAGAGGAAACCCTTGTGTCACCCACCTGCAGTCCTTTGTCTCCCGTCCCTCGACGCATCCTGCTCAGGAGAGCCAAATACCTGTCCAAATATTAACAGAGCTATCGGTGGGTACGGGAGGGGTCGGGCTGCCCTTGGACGAGGAGCCGCATCACCGTTCAGAGGTGGGCTTACAGGAAAACACGTCTTCATCTTGGGAGGGCAACATCAACAGCCTCAGCTCTTCGCTGGGATGCAGGCAGCATGCATACATTTTTCGAAATGCCTCTTCTTTGGTTTCAGGGAAAATTAAGTTGTATATAGATGAGTGTTTGTATGATTGTATACACGTATGTGTGTATACAGATGTATGTATGTGTACATGTTGTAAGTAGGTAAACACCATTTACACACGTATGTATCTGTGGATGTATATAGGTACATTTGGTTAATGCCTACGGGGCATGTATTTAAGTAAGATACTTAGGTATGTATGTGTTTTAACTGTGAAGTTGTGCAAATACGTAGCCAAAATTAGTACTTCAAAATGGTAAATCCTCAAACAGAGGAAGTTACGGGTTAAACTTATTGCAAATCAAGCAATTGGAAAAATATGATTCTCCAGGAGAAAGCTACAGTAAAATTTTGAATAGAAACTTCCCTGCTAGGAGTTTACAAGATGGAGAAGTTCTGTGGTTCTGTAGTTGTGAAAAAGACAGACACAATTAAACGCTTTTCCTGCCTACGAGGGAATTTGAAGGTAACACTTAGAAATCTTGTACATAACCAACAGGGAGGAAAAAAGCAGAAGGAAGGTGTGGATGGAAAGGAGGTATATGGCACACAATAAAAGTGAGAATTTATGAAGCATACAAGGTGATAAGGAGTGTTCAAAATAATCTGGAAAAACTGGATTGCTGCAAGTGCTAACGGCACTTGGAAGGAGTTTTTTCAAAATACACTGAAAACCAAGAAATGGTAGCAATGGCCTAGGCTCATGCTGGGGGATATAGGTAAAACTGTCGATAGAGGAGATTTTTGGTGGAGGCTTTTTGATAGAGAGGATAGTTTGTATACAGAGAGAAAGAGAATTGGGTATTCATACTACGTGAGGATGGCAAACAGCTTCCTAATCTGTTTGCGAACTAAGGAAGGTTATAACAGCACCTATTAAGTGTAAGTATTTTCAGATCAGTAGCCAATAAAATCTGCATCTCTGAATCATAAAAGACTTGGCTGAAGAGGCACCTGGCCCAACGGAGTTAGTTAGGTATTTAAAAATCCTGGCACACCAAAGAAATCCCAAGGACTTGGATTCTGCCAGTGTTCACAAAGAGAAAGCGAGATGACACCGACTGTTCGACGGTTCCGTAGCAATAATCGTAGGTAAGAGTGTCAAGTTATTACAAGTTAGCTAACAAGGGCCTCCGCAATGAAAATAACATTAATAATTTAGTATGTTTAAAAAAAAAAAAAGTTGTGAGAAACAAATCTGACTTCATTCTTGGACAAAATAATACATATGGTTGATAAAAGCACTGGTGCAGATTTAACAAACTAAGAAATTTGTAAATTCTGAAGAAAAAATAGTAGTGTATTTATAGATCATAATTTGCACTATATGGATTCATTACTAGCTAACAGACAAATGGCAAAATTTCATTGTCCAAAAAGAAGCAGCAATCACTGCTGAAAGTGTGTGCCTCTCTGGAAGAACTGTGCTGTTTAATGTTTGCATCAGGAGATACAGCCGTAAAAAAACATTGCTGATAAAATTTGCCAACGGCAAGAGCAGTAGCTAAAGCAGAGGGGGTCCTTCAGATCAACACAAGTCGCCTGGCCAGCTGAAGACACTCAAGGAAGATAAGCTGCTCAGCAATGCCCAGGGAGTCTCCTCAGGTACTGGACCACCACGCTGGCTCGATGCTGTTGATCCATGAATCCCCATCAGTTGCCTGACCTGTGGGAACACCTAAGAGTGACCATGGGCAGAAGGTAACTGCTGGGGGAAGCAGGTTTCTCTTGTATCATTTCCTCTTCATTTTTGATGTGTTACCAATAAATAAGTATTTTTAGTTCCAACAGTTGTCTTCTGTCTGTGGACCTCCCCCACCGCTCGGTGGAGTCAAGCCTACTGCGTGGCTCCACGGCCGGTGAACAGGCGGGCTGAGCCCCGCGCAGAGGGGGAATCTGCCTGGGACTTGGGAATGGGCGCTCCAAGGGACCCTGGGTGGGTCTTGCTCTGGTCTTGCTAAACCAGTATGTCTCAATTACACCACAGAGTACTGGTGGCACCGTAACCTGCAGAGAAAGGCACAGTGAGAATCAACAGCTGCAAGTTATATTTAGGCATGTTCAGAGCAGAATAAGACATAATATACTCAACGATGAGGCTCATTGTCCTAGCCACCTGTCGGTAAAAATGGTAGACTATCTCTCAAGGTCTTCAAATAAAGGCCACGTTACTTTTTTCAAGCTGTCCTTTAATAATAATTTAAAAAAATAAGTTAATGGCATCAGTTAAAACAGACACTGGGTAAAATTCCAAGGCCTGCATTACACATGAAGGGAGAGCTGGTTGGTTGTCTGCCTTTTTGGCCCATAAACTGACATAAAGGAAAGAAAAAAATAAGGGTGAGATGTAGGAAGGAAATGCGTTAGGAGCGGCTGTATTCCCCGTAAGGAGAAATAAACCACGGCACATGGTTTCGTTCCACTACCTGCTCGCCGATGCTCCGCACTAGAGTTGCTATGGGGAGTCCACAATTACTGTGTCCCTGGAGGTCTCAAGCTGAATTTAAACCACAAAAACAAGTAAAACGTATCACCCAAAGCAGAAAAAGTAATACTTACTGATAAACAAAGTGACATCGTGTTTAACAACAGTGTTCTTTATATTTTAAATATAAAGCACTTATTACAGAAAATACCACTAAGAGACTGAAAGTTCATCAAAGATAAACTTGATTTCATTATGAAGACATGCATAAATAATATTATATGTTCTGCGTCTCTGGAGAGACCTTCCAAGGTCGAATTTGCCGTGGCCAAGTGCCACATGGCATCGGTGCCTGGCCACGTGAACTGAGAGGCAGGAATCTGGTTATCATCTGATGAGCTGCTAGTCAGGCCAAGCTGTTACAAGGTACACCGTGTCTCTACAAATAAATATTAAAGGTAGGTGTTTTAGACAAGTTCTTTAGGAGAATTATTTGATGTAAGGCATGAAATTTGACAGGGATTTTGTCAACCTGCAAAACATAAGATTAAGTTATTTGCACTTGAGTCAGCACAAGATTACTTAGGGGCTGTGGCTGCATTGTATTGTGAATACGGACAAGCCAAAACGTCTCACGTGGTATCGAAAGAGCAGTCATTGCAATCGGCAACGCCAAGCTCAAGATCATCTTTTCCACATAGGTTCCCCTTGTTTGATTAAGCCTCTGCTCATTCAATTTAAGCTAGCAAAATAGATCCAGCAGTCTAACTGCATTGGTTTAGATGCACTTTATGAATATAGCTGAAGCTCAGGTATGTGCCTCAAAGAGAACGTGTGCTAACTGGAAGAGACAGTGAAGTGCCTAATGCACTTCAAAGCTAAAGGCCCTCTCCCATAGTCCACCAGGCAATGACGGACAGTAACTCCTTCAAGCCTAGCGTGCAACAAGAAACAGCTTCCCACACTGACCGTAGAAAAGATACCGAACTTTCCCACATCTCCCTCATCTTGGTCAATGAACTGCAAGGAATCACTGCAACCTGCTTGGTAGAGGTGGGCCAGGACAGCATTCATGCTTTCCTACTGTTCATTTCTTCCAGATCAGAAGCTCGAAGCAGCAAGCTCCGTTGCAAGAGCTTGGCATCGCAGCCCTCCGTTGCAGGGGGGTTCACACATGTACACAGTAAGATGACTCCCACATGGCTGCATCTTCCTGAAAGCCCACGGACATCAGGTAGTTCTTCTCAATAGCTGGATACCTCTTTTCATAGAGAAGGTCATCTCACACCTATACAACGGCTGCTTCTCCTCCCTAGCACTGCCTGCAGGAACACCGCCCCTGGGCTTCTCTCTGTGAAGAGTATGAAATGCTGACCAAAGACACGTCTTCACTAGCACCGTGCGTTTGCTTTTCTTAGTAACAGCAATCTTCTGCATTGATCGCTTTCTCTGGCCTCTCCTTCATCGGGACTTTACTGACAGGAGCGACGACAAGCTACAATGGGTAATGAATCTCCTGTGATATTCTGCACACTCCCCCTCTCAAAAAAAAAAAAACAATTAAAAAGAAAAAATGTGAAAAGAAAAAAAGGGAAAGGAAAAACTGTGAAAAGAAAAAAAGGAAAAAGGAATGGGCTTTTCTTTTCCCAAAGCCTCCAGCTCTGTTACAACCACCCTCTAACTTGTGTCCCAGACAAAAGCATGGGACACATGCTTGCCGCCACAGCATATGTGTCGTGCTAAATCAGTCCAGCTCCCACCCACTGCAAAAACGTGCTTCTCCTCCCAGGTCAGCTGAAAATTCAGCTTCTCCCAGCACACCGAATGGTGGGTTCCCATGCATCTACTTCAATGGATGATGGGCAGATGCTGAAAAGAGGCAGATGCCCCCTCGGGGTGAAAAATTAGCTGAGAAGCTCAAAAAGCACATCTGGAGTGGAGAGGGCCGATTTCAGCCTCCAGGACCAGCAGCAGTTGCCAGCAGTTCCTGGTGAGGAGAGACAGCAGAGGAATGAGGACCATCCCCACTCATGTCCCCAGGTAGATGCAATGGTTGCAGCGCTGGGAGCTCCTTCTCTCATACTCTGCCCCTACAACCCCTGAATCAGAAGAGGAGAAAGGAGAGGGCCACCACCAGCAACTTCATTTCTGGTGCTGATACAAGCACACCCCTCTGTCACTGCTGCTGTCCCCTTCACCAGCAGCTGGGTGGAAGTGCCTGGACCGCAATACCTGTTGCATCCTACAGCGAGAGCCAACAACTCTGCAGGTCCCAGCTGGCTCCGGTGCTACCAGGCAGCATTCAT